GTGGTTCTCTAAGCTGAAACACAGAAAGACTAACACCTATCTGAAGTATGCGTGCAAAGTTTGGTATTAAATCTCAAATTTTGTATCAAACCAGGTTTCACCAGTTCTGTAGAGATGACAGGCACTTTCACTCTTTCTATGACTAATTATTCAGCACTGCTGGGTAGTGGGCACTAGGCTAGGTCCTGGGGAAACACGAACAATAATACAACTACATCATGAAGCCAACGTCCCCGTGATTGGGAAAGACAGCAAACTAGCAAGCAAAGTAAATGAGACAAAAGGAAATATAGATAAAAGTTTTGAGACTGCAAGAAAGGGGAGTGTGTAGGTATTATAATAGAAAATAACAGAGGGTTTCTACCTACACAGGGTAATCGAGGAAGGCTTCTTCAAAGGAGGCAGGGGGACATTTAGGCTGGGGTCTGGAGAGTGATGGGTTTTCTGAAGAGGTCGGGGGTGGGGGTAAGGGGCAGCATTCCAGGCCGAAGGGCAGAAAATACAAAGATCTGGAGGCTGGAATGAAATTGGAGTATTTTAGGCCTTGAGAAAAGGCCAATGTGACAATGTGACAGTTGAAGTCTAGGGAGATGGAGTGGCTGTGTCATATGGAGCGTAGAGTTTGGATTATATGTTAAAATTAAGAGGAAGCTTTCAAGGGGTGACACGAGGGAGGGAAGAACTAATAAAGGAGTATGGGAGAGAACCAAAGCGGAAGCAGGAGGCCAGCTGAGAGACCATGTCAATAATCCAGGCAAGAAATGGCGGTTTGGACTGGGGCCGGCGGCACTGGAAATGGGAGAGAGACCAAAATCTCCACATATTTTCGAGGTAGAACCAGTAGAGCCTTCTGACAGATTACAAGTAAGCGGCAGGAATCCAGGACAACTCCCAGATTTCCGGCTTGAGAAATGAATGGATGGTAGCGGCATTTTTTAGGGAAGCCTGGTGGAAGAGTAAATTCTAGAGGAGGGATCAGAAGTTCACTTTCAGAAAATGTTAACATTGAGACGCCCGTGAGACACCTAGCTCCCCACCCACGGATCCATCTGCAGGCAAATAAAACTCACAAAGGTAAAAGGCAACACTGGCCCTTCTATTTCTTCAGGTCCTCATTGGCCACAGCGCTCGTATTTACTTAGACTTTTATGAAAAGTGAAAAGAGGTTTTTGAAGTGAGTTCATACTTACTCTAAATTGGAAATTTTCACTAATAAACTGGCTGGCTGAAGCTGGACTTGGGAGGACTTGTTTCTTGGGCATCTTTAAGAATGTAAGCCTGGGATGGTGTTTCTTTAGCCAACAACCAAAATAAAACAAAACAAGGCAGTGCTTTAATTCTTTTTTTTCTTATTCTACTTTTTATCAAGTTTATTTGAGAGAGAGAGAGAGCGTGAGTGTGTGTGCATGCAAGCAGGGGAGGGGCAGAGAGAGAAGGAGAGACAAAATCCCAAGCAGACGCCACACCATCAGTGCAGAGCCTGATGCAGGGCTCGAATCCATGAACTGTGGGATCATGACCCGAGCCAAGATCAAGAGTTGGGTGTTTAACCGTCTGACCTGCCCATGCACCCCTAATTTTTGTAATAGCTAATACTTCCATCTTGATGGTGAGAGACTGCTGTGGGTGCAGGTGCTTGGCTTCTAAAGGAAGCAAACCATCTGATGAGCTACTTGAATGCCTAACTACTGTTCTGAAAAACTTTGTGATGCACAAACCACCCTCCCGTACTTTTCTTTTGTGGTGATAGTAGTTCTCTCTGCAGCTATGTGGAGATAGCGTTTGTCTAGGACATTTTCCAAAAGCGTCTTGCAACAGAATTTTGCTATAAAGTTAAATTGTGTGAAACTAACAATGATTTTTCTGTGTGCAAGGGAGGCTAGAAATATCCCAGACATAACAAAAGCAAAATGAGCACAATCTGTTTCCCATCTTTAAAATAATTCTATTTCCAGGAGGAATGTAAAAGTTTGGAGTTTAAAAAAACAAAACGGGCCCTTACCATAGATCTAGTCTGTTAGTGGCCACATATACACATCTGATCATATTCTGGCCATTTTTATAACCCATTGGTGGCGACTGCATCCATTCAGGAGACACAAATGAGAGTGGAGTTGTGGTCATTCTATTCATAGCGATATGCTCAATATAACTTTTCTCAACGTCTCACCTTAGAGTCGGTTTAATTTCAAGAATCATGCTTTAAAGAGCTTTATATGGGGGCGCCTGGGTGGCTCAGTCGGTTGAGTGTCTGACTTCGGCTCAGACACAAACTTCTGCAGTTTGTGTGTTTGAGCCCCACGTCGGGCTCTGTGCTGACAGCTGGGAGCCTGGAGCCTGCGTTAGATTCTGTGTCTCCCTCTGTCTCTGTCCCTTCACCAATCACCCTCCATCTCTCTCTCTCTCTCTCTCTCTCTTTCTCAAAAATAAATATTTTTTAAAATTTTTAATAAAAAAAATAGAGAGCTTTATATGTATCTATCCAAGAAACCCATGAGTCCCATTGGAAACAACCACTGCTGCTGGGATACTCACTCCTGCAAAAGGAAACGTGCTTTACTCCCCTGCCATGAAAAGCAGCGTGATGGACAGCCCCTACCTAGCTCCCCAGCCTCCTCTCCTGCTATCCTCCTCGTCACACTTCACACACTAGAACCTGGGTGGAATCCCTTGCCTCAGGTGTGGCGTGGATTTAGTGACTTGCTGCTAAGGAACAGAACATAGAATTATGACTGAGATACCAGCCTGGGACCTCCACTGCGCTGGGGTGTGTGCTCACTCGCAGGCACACCCCCTCCCTGCCCTCTCGCCTGCTCACGCTGAGGAAGCAAGCTGCTCTGCGCAGGTGCCCCCGTGGCAGGCAAGGGAGGAAGGAACTGAGGCCTCAGACCAACAAACCCGGGAGAGCCTGCGCCCTGCCAACAGCCCCGTGAGTGAGCTGGAAGTTAACCCTTCCTAGTACAGCCCTGAGATGGCCGCAGCCTGTGAGTGACCCTGGGCCAGAGGTCCCAGCGGAGCCACCGCCAGATTTCTGGCACATTCAAATAGTGAGATAATCATGATAAATGTGCGCTGCTTTGAGCCCCTCTGTTGGGGTAACATGTTGTGTTCTGGTAGATAACCAGCCCACTCCCCCCGCAGGGTCTTCATAAGGTCTATCTATCAGGTGAGATAGAAAGGATTCAGCAAAATGCCTGAGGCCACAGGAGGCCTGCAGCACCTTAGCTCTACCCTCCGACCCTGCTGCTCCAACCCCCCTGCTCTGCCAGCTCCTGGCCACCATCACCTCACGTCTGGATCCCCACAAATGCCCTGCAACTGGTCTCCTTGCTTCCTTGTGTCCAGATGGTGAGCCTCCTTAAAAAGCAAACAGAGAAACTTCAACAGCCCCCTATTTCTCAAAGGACAGATACCAAATGGATATTCAAGGCCCCCAGGCGGTCCCCATCCTGTATTTCCAAGCTAACTCCCCACTACGCACTCACACCTCATTACTATTCTATTTAAGATCAATCTAGTCACTCCATCTGAAATGGACACGCTGTCCATTCCCACCAGTAGTGGATGTGTGCCCCTTCAGTACATGTTCCCTTTTCTCTCCTGGATTCCAAATGCCACCATCCTACCCCATCACTTTCACTGCCATTCAGACCTGACCTCCCTACTAAGCTTTTCCAAATCTCACCACCCCAGAATAATCTTCTTCCTTCTCTAATTTAATATGTACTCCTTTGGTATTTAAAATCACAGAAATATAAAATCTGAGAACAGGCAGAAACAACTTCGGAAAGCCTTAGGACCAACCATTCAAGTTATGGGCAAAGCATCTGAGGCTCTGAAATAAGGACATAGCTGAATAGTGGCAGCACAAGGACCAGAATTCAAGCCTCCAAACTCTCGTGTTATTCAATTCTAGAAACATTTACCAAGGGGCCATTATGTACAAGGTGCTACAAAATTTTGACAGTTTCTGCCACCATGCCATCCGTTAATTTAATCAACCAAAAATTACTGAGTGCTATTTACCAGATACTCTGCTTCAAATAAAGACTTTGCCCACAGGGGATTCAGGGCAGTGAAAACGCAAAAAGGTAAAGCAACAATTACAAAACAGCTTGATAAGGTCTCTGACAGCAGGTTCTAGAGAGACAGAAAAAAACCACCTACATACTATCTTTGGTCCTGCCCTCATTCACTCACCCCTGTAGTTTGATAGACAGACAGACAGACAGACAGACAGACTTCTCACTTTGCTAAGGAGAGCAAGTAGAAAAAAAGGTCTCTTAAAGCAACTCATGAACAACAAACACCTCCCATGTCCACACTACTATGAAAAGTAACATTTTTCTATGTATCAGATCTATAAAATTAGACCTATTCAAGAAAAACTTGAAATATACATACATTATGCCATTACTCTGTTTTTAGAATCTGTGTTTAGGAGTCAGACAGACCCTGAGTGTCAAACACTTTGTCTGCTATTTATTTGCTAAGTGATCTTAAGCAAGCAGCTTAAACTCACTGAATTTTAATTTTCTCATCTGTAAAATGGGAATAATACCCACTTTGCATGGTATTTGTGGGAATTAAAATTCTGTCTTTTAAATAAGCAAATAGAATATACATGTATAAGTAACAAAAATTGTGTTTGATAACTAAAACACATTCAAATATGATTCAATGGGCACAGCATCATTATCAAAATTTATCAGAAAACCCTGTAGTTACTAACTGTCCAAAACAAAAGGGTACTCCTCTGAAAATTTTTTAGTAATCACTGCACAAGTGGGTTTTTTTCGTTGTTTTGTTTTTTTCTTATTTCCAGGCAGCAACATTCTGAGAATCCATAGTATGCTAGTTGCTATGTGGAGAGAAAAATAAAACCCTACATTTAAGAAGTTTAGAATACAAATGAGAAGACGAGAACAGTTCTTTGTGCAATGCAAGCAAATCCTTTCTTACAGATTTAGTCGTGAAGAAAAGATACCAGGTGCCAAGAATATAGTTCAACTTAAGTAGGTAAGTTTAATGGTCAGAACAAAATGGGATCCATTAGGAAAAACTGTATGTAAGAGATGAGTTACAGTGTAATATAACCTTTTCATATTGCTTATTTTAATAGGATTTAATATATAATGATTATTCTTCGGGTTTCTGAATTAAAATTGATCAGGTGGCCATAAGATCTGGAAACATAGACAACTATACATAATAAATAGTTTACTGATATTCCAAGAAATGCTCAGTGAATGTCCTGTTCCTCACTAGCAAGTCATAGTTCAACAAGCTATGCAAAACTGCCTCAAACAGTGTGCACTAAACTGGTATTTCCATTAATCCTTGTTATGTGTACTTACAATGCATCACCTAAAGTGATTTGTGTGTCTTATATTCACTGAATAATCTTGTGCCCTTAGCACACCTAAGAAGTAATCAAGGAAGAAGTGTATATTGTCTGTTTCCAGACTCTGTGACCACTGTATTTTTTTTTTTAAGTTTCACCTACTATAAGTCTTATAAACATTTTTGCCATTCATCTTATACCAAGGAAAAAATGAATACTAAAAATGAGATAATGGAAAAACAAAAACTGATTTATTTGCTTTTAAATTTCACACTGCAACATTTTCCTGAAAATGAAGTGATTTTTAATCTACAGATAAAATATTCTCTAAATGATAGGGTGTTTTTGACAAGTTTTGTTTTAAAATAGATTTGAATTCACAATAGGTCTTACACACAATGATTTCAATAACTCAGGCACCAGGACACAAGGTGACGGTCTAACAATTCTGTGATGACTTCTTAACAGTTCAAGAGAAAAAGACCTTTTTCAAATGTGGGAAGAAATTAATCTTTCTACAGTATGAACCCGTAAAAGCTACTCTCCTTTATAGATGACAACATTATTGTCAGTTTCATATACTTTTACTTTATAAAGAACTCCCAGAGGAAGGAATTTCTGGAGGTTTTCCCAGATATATACAGCTACATTTTCTGTTGTGCTGTAGGAAAAAAAGGAAAGAAGAGCAAAAGGCAAATGAACAAAATTTCATGTTTGATGTTTACAGAGAATAGAAATCCTAGATTTAAAGAGTAATGTTAAAATAAAACTTCAGAAACCACATAGCAGTCAGATAAAATGTGAACAGCAATTCTTCTTTCTTACCATCCACATAAGGCAAGATGGTGCACCCACCTTACAACATCTGCAAAGTATGGCACATCCAGATCCAGATTCTTATGATCAAGGGGCTTCATAATTGCCTCCTGTAGATAAAACAAAGGAAAAACATCACTGGTTCCATTTATGACTCAAATTCCAAAATGTTCTATCTTTGACTTGGGAAATCTTACCTTATCAGCTTGCCACTAACTCAGTGCTTATAAGGAATCTATCTGTGTCTCTTAAGCAAAGCTTAAAGTTGGAAAATAGAGCAAGGCCCAGATCTCCATAATGACTGGTTCTCCTCATTACTAAATGCAAAGATGTAAGAAATCAAAAAGTACAGGAGAATTCACTGCAAGTTTCTTGTAACCAGCCATTGAGACTCAGAATTCAGTTTAACACTTCTTGAATTCTGTCCAAAAATTACCCAAAACACTTCTCCATACAGTCTTACCTTCAGCACAATGTCACAAGGTAATCAGGACAAGGATCCAGTGAGTATTACATTTTATAAAGCTGACTGAGAGTGAAATTATGTAAGCAGTTCTAGATTTCTGCTATGAGGAATAACTCAAGAATGATCTTGGACTCTTAGAGGAAGAGGAGAAGAAAATATAAATATATAAAGACTGTTGCTTCCTAATGCTTATATATATACATTAACATAATGTTTTCCCTTGTCAGTGGCAAGAATAGTAATTGCCTTATTCTTTCTAACTTTTTACTTTTAGCGTTTGTATAAAATCTAAGCATTTGTGAAACAATCTAATTTTCCAGTGGTATGGTTCCAAGAAGGGTACATTAATAATAATAGCAATCATTTTTTGAGCAAAACCAGAGCCATATAAAAAAGAGTTAAGCCTTAAATCAAATAGCCTTTAAAACAGATCAAATGAAGGGCAGTTCCACATGGATAGCAAAAAAATAAATATCTGTTTTCTATTCAATTCCAGGGTGGGTCCCAACTTTCCCACTGAAGCTTCTTCCACAGGCCCCTTCTAACTTTATTACATGCCATGATGAGCTACTTCTGCTGAGGGGACTACGTGGTGTCCCTCGGTTACACAGAAGTGGCGAAGAGTATAGAGAAACTGTCCTTCAGTATTTGGTCATCTGCATGCATGAGATGCCTCAAATTTCCCATACTGCTGTCTCGTATTGTACAACACTCTGTGTATACAGGTTTTATATCCCCAGTAAATGCAAAAACTGTGTCTTTATAGCTTTTCTAATGTACTCAGAACACACTGCTGCTTGTTCATTCGCTGAATCTCTTATCCATTTTATCCAACTGAAACTTACTGAGCACTTAGTATTCTTTGCCTCCTAGAAAAAGTCACATGAGCACTCTGTGGGTAAGGGCTGTGTCTCACTAATCTTTGTACTCTTGGTGCTTAGTTCAAAGACTGATGCAGAGTAGGCAAACTGGCTGAATATATGAATGATAACATGGAAGGAATGATGATCATTAGTAGCATTTTTATAAGACAGATGTCAGATTCTAGAACAAGAGGAAGAAGCAGAGTTTAAGCTTCTAAACTGAAGCTTATGGAACTAAACAAACAGATGACATGGTATAATAATAAAAACAAAGCTGGATAGAAGGGAGTTCACTGCCAACTTTGTAAAAGGCTAACCACACAACCTAAAGCAAGTTCGGCCTCTCTCAATCTTAATCCAGGGAACAAAGAAGTTGGTTTAGGTAATCTCTAAGGCTTCTGACACTGCAGATCTTCAATAATAATACAGTCCGCAAGTCCCTGATTGAACTCCTTCTTTTGTGTGATCCCTGCTAAGAAGAAATCAGGACAGGGCAGCAGGGAATACATGATGAGCATGTTACAGGTATTCCCATCACTGCAATACAACTGTGACTTACTTCCTTTAAGTCACCCAAACACCTTTAGAAAAATATGAAAGTAGTTCCTCCAGCTACTCCTCCAAATCTACTCCCAAGGTCATGGAAGCTCTGGAGATACTTGGTTGGGAAAGTAAAAAAAAAGGGGTGGGGGGGGGCATCAAATATACTTAGAGGACCCAACATGACATTACCTCCATGTACTCTTTGAGGTCGGTCAAATTCATAACCATTCCTGTAACAGGATCAATCTGAAGAAGAAACAAAGGTGAATATTACTATAATATGCTCTTCATATGTAAACCTCTGCTAAATTATTAAAGGCTATACAAAGGGCAGAAATTGTGCCCACATCTGCCTTCATTCCCAAGACAATCACCAGGTGCTCCAGGCATCCATTTTATGGTACCACTGATCTTCTATCTGTCCACATAGAGTAGATGAAAAATAACCCTTTGGGAAGAAGGGCCTGGAATGGCAGTGGCTCACCATACACAAAGACCAACAATGAAGCAATATTGATCTGAACAGAATTTTTCGACAAAGAATCCATCACGCTGGCTGAGAGGGCCCAGCAATCTGCACAAATCACACAGATACATTCAGCACGTACCTCTCCATGAACGGTCACCAAAACTATGGGAAAGAAAACAGAATACCAAAAAACCACATGACTTTCAACAGATAACACCCAAGCACAAGTTAGCAACATAAATTAAGTATTAGATCTCTGCCCTGAAAAGCTCTATTTATATTTTCCCTAAAACAGCTGCTCTTTTAGTTAAGATCTTTTTAGTAATGAAAGCAAGACTCAATCAAGACAGAGAGGCTTAGCAGGAGATTTGGCCAAGGCAAGAAAGGGTGTATATTCTATTTATGAGGTTGATGCACTGGGTAGGAATGCCCATTAGGTAGGATAGAGACGCTGATTGATCGCTGCCTGTAAAAGCAGAATATGTACAAGAAAGAAGTCCAGCTAGACACCAAGCTGGCCCAGTGCTGGGCAGTACCTTTCTGAGGAAGCAAAACCACGAATGGGCCTAAAACTCTGATGCCTTTACTCACATGAACATATCCGGTTTATGGTAATGCTCTGTAAGTTAACGAAGGGCTTGTATGAAGCATTTGAAAAATGATGCTCAGAATGTTTTACAATTTAATAACTTATATATATATTTTTTTTCAGCTCTGTGCAAACACCATTAGGTATTATGTGATAGGTAAGCAAATGAAGAATGACAAATATAGATCAAGAGGCAGTAACTAAATTAGAAAGTCTGATCTTCTGACACCTTTTCTAATCTTTTTACTCTATCATACTATATGTTATGATACTCAATGGCTTATGTAGCTGTTTTTCGAGTTATCGGCTTTATCTCAAATAATCACGTCTCTTACACTCACATAAATTAACTATTTTCTTGGAACACTGCTGGCAAAGTTTTAGACCCAACATACTTTCCTGCCATACAGTGTATTCCTAGCAATATCTCCTGTTTGTCAGTCATTATTTACTCAAAGAATATGGTCTAATTTTAACGTTAACCTCAACAATATCTAATTAGAAGGAAGCATGGTGCCAAAAAAATCTCATTATGTACCTAAGGCCAAGGATAAAAAAAATTATTTAAACCATTCATTATCCCTAACACAGCAGATTTAAAGTTTAAGACACATCCAACCAAGACAACAGATTTTTTTTTCAGTCTGAAACTCCATGTAACTGCACATTAAAGGCTCAAGGTATTCATGCTTTGCCTGTAAGGTTTCTTACTCATTAGGACTCTACTTGCTGATCACACTTTCATCCTTATTGAAAGGGCTAAAATTTCATCAGCCTTTCCTCACCTTTATAATTGTGTCCATGGCCATTTGGATTGTTGCATTTCCCATACAGTTTCAAGTTTTCTTCGTCACTCAGACATTTGCTGGCAAAAAAAGAAAAAAAATCAACATGTCACAAGTTCAGACACTTTCTCTGTTCCCTACATTATTTGCTCTAGTCTTTGAAAGGTTCACAATTTATTATTACTTTAGCTCACCAAAGGGAGAGTCATAAATCATTTTGATTTCATTATTCAGCTGTCAGGAACCAGTGTATGCCCCCTAATTAGGCTACTGTGCCATACAAATTAGCATAAACAAAGTCCACACCCTTGTTCCACAGCAAGATTCCAACTCAAGTGTTCAAGGCCCTTCTATTATTCAACTCCTCAAGCATTTACTGGGTATTTATTACATACTAGGCATGGACTGAATGAAGCAAAGACATACAATGATAAAAGATGCTTGTCCTCAGTGGCTTAAAATCTCATTTTTCCTTAAAAATAATTACCTGGCCTACTGCAGCTCCTCTTTTACACCCTTGCATTTAACTAGGGCCCACTGACAACGTCCCCAGTCCATTGAGGGACATTCAAATTAGGTGAAACTTTAAAAATTACAATTCTCAGTTGCTGTTCCAGGCAGAGAACAATTTTCGTTATTTTAATTTTTTCAATGTTTATTTATTTTTGAGGGAGAGAGAGAGAGTGAGCATGAGTGGGGGAGGGGCAGAGAGAGAGGGAGACAGAATCCGAAGCAGGCTCCAGGCTCCGAGCTGTCGGCACAGAGCCTGATGTGGGGCTCGAACCCACCAACAGTGAGATCATGACCGGAGCTGCAGTCCCATACTTAACCGACTGAGCCACCCAGGTGCCCCAGAAAACATTTTTTTTTTTCATGAATTTTTACTGTCTAGCCGTCCAGTCAACGGTGCATCTTCAGGGAGGCCTCCTCTGTGAACGTGCTGTTACGCCGCCCCTTCCTTTCTGCGCCCCTCTTTAATAGTTTTAGTGTCCCCCACTCCCCCCTGCTCGCCCACTGGCATCTAGAACGCTACGGTTCACACAGCTTTTGCGCACCATTATCTCCCTGTGCCCTTCACAAGACTGGCCAGCCCGGGCCCTCGGGACAGAAGGCGGGGACCGGGCCTGCTGATCACCGCCGCCTGACACACCTGTCACCTGACACAAGGCCTGACCCGCTCGCCGCAAACAACCGCCCTGTGAGGGAGCGGATGGCTCCGGTTAGAGGGCGCCAGGGCGGCTTAGTCGGTTAAGCGTCCGACTTTCGCTCAGGTCATGATCTCGCGGTTCGTGGGTTCGAGCCCCGCGTCGGGCTCTGTGCTGACTGCCAGCTCGGAGCCTGGAGCCTGTTTCAGAGTCTGTGACTCCCTCTCTCTGACCCTCCCCTACTCACGCTGCCTCTCTCTCTCCTAGAAATAAATAAAACATTAATAAAAAAGAAAAGAAAGAAATGATGATCGTCATTTCACAGACCGGACACGTTACGCTGCGAGCGGGGCTCGCTAAGGAGGCGCAGAACTCGCCCCCACATCAAGTCCTCGGGGCCTGCGGCCCCGGGGCTCCGGGTTCAAACCGCTGCGGCGCCCCCCGCCCTCAGCGCGGCCTCACGAAAGGGGAGCCGAGGGCCACGACGCTCGTCGCGTTGCTCTAGTCGTACTGGTTACGTGGCCAGCGCTCCTGGCACCTCGGAGCAGCTCACGTCTACCGAGTGTTCACCACGCGCCTGGCACTGTGTCACCGGGGCACGGTGTCCCCGCTCCGACCGTCAGAGCACCCCTCGCGCTCCGCCGGGGAACGGGAGGGACCCCGGGGCTGCTCCCAGACTCGGGGCCCGCGAGGGAGCCTCCGCGGTCGGCAACCGCGCCCCACGACCGCCTCTGCTCCACTCCAGCTGCCACCGTCACCCCGTCGCCAGGGAACCCGGGGGCGCGCCTCAGTTCGCGCACCTGCGCTCCCGCCCCCAGGCCCCGCCCCAGAGCGTGGGCACTGTGGGCACACCCCACCTGTGGAGACGGTGGGTCGCGCTGAAGGAGACGAGGCGGGACAGTCGCGCCCAGCGACGACCGCCGTGGCCCGCGCCAGCCGCGCTCATCGCCTCGCCTCCCGGCTCTTCACCGCTGGGCGGGGACGCGCCGGGCGTCCCGCGGCTGCGCAGTGCGGCCGGCGCCCTGGGCCGCGCGCTCAGCTCCGCGCTGCGGCTGGCTCCCTCTGCTGGCCTGGAGGAGTAAAGCGTCCCGTCCTGTCCGTCCCCTGGACAGCAAGAGTTGGAATAAGGTAGGCAACCCTCCCAGCGGTCAGAAAACGTGGATGAGGCTTCAGTGTCTTTCCTTCTAAGGTCTGCTCAGCCTTAGGCCACATCGGGCCGTTAGTGTCAGCCTGGCCACACTGTGGGTACTGACAGGACCTCTGTGAGGGACCCACTCCCTTCTAGAAAGCCCCGGTTATACCTCCACTGGTTGGTTACTCAGAGGTGAGCCTCAGGGCCAATCTACTTATAGCAGAAAGGGAGCGGGAATTTCAGGGCTCATGTAGAAGCACGTGACTTTCGGAAATGACACTACCTTTGGACTGTTTGTAAAGATTCTTCGTACTAAGGGAAATTCTCAAGCTTTCCTTATCATCCGTACACATGCATAAAACCATTTATCAGTGTGAACACATGCAGTCATGGACACACAGTACACATTAGCAATTCTCTGTCCTATGGTGACACCTCTGGAGCAAACGGATGGTGTTTCCTCACATCTACTTATAAGGAGTATCCACACTACTTAACAGTTCCAAGTATTGTGTCACCTCTTGCTTCCATTTATTCCTTTGCTAAATATTTACTGAATATCCAACCATGTGGCTGGCAGTGTTCCAGGAAGGATGGATTAAATCATGGGAGTGACAGTCATACACGCCCCAAATGGTGATTTCTCTCAAATGTCTCTTGTTTCCAGCTACATACTGTTGTTCTGTATTATGTAGCAAACATTCTTAGCACATTTTCAAGTATTTTTATTATCTCCCCCATTGGGCTGTAAATAACATCAAAGAATAAACTTCAAAGATTTCTGAGATAGACACTCTAGTCCAGTACTCTCATGGCTAAGAAAGCATGGGCACGGAGGCACCTGGGTGGCTCAGTCAGTTAAGTGTCCGACTTTGGCTCAGGTCACGATCTTGTGGTTCACAGGTTCAAGCACTGCATGAGGCTCTGTGCTGACAGCTCAGAGCCTGGAACCTGCTTCAAATTCTGTGTCTCCTTCTCTCTCTGCCCCTCCCCTGCCTGTTCTCTCTCTCTCTCTCAAAAATAAATAAACATTAAAAAAAAAAACCACTTTAAAGAAAGCACAGGCCCACATAAGTGAATTACTCATCCAAGATCACTTACAATAAAACAGTACTTGCCAGTCATTGACTACATCGGAGATAAGCAGTCTAATTAATGGTTAATGGTTATACAAATACTTGACTCTTTCTGAATGAAGTCTTAAGAATCAAAATACAAAGCAAAAGGAATTTCTGAGAAATTGCTGTACTTAAGTACTTAAATAAAATATGGCATTGCATTTGCAGAGTGCTTGCTCTACATTTTTTTATTAAAGGTACTCACCAAATTCACCCTCAGTCATCCTGTTATGGGTGGAATCATATCTGCCCAAAATTAGTATGCTGAACCTCCAGCACCTCAGAACATGACTTTATGTGGAAATAGGCCTTTGCAGATATAATTTAGTTAAGAGAACATAACTAGGATGGGTCCTAGTCCCCTTTCCCCTCCCATATGCACCCCATATTCTCCCTCTCCCTGAGTCTCTGGACACTGGTGAGTGATGAGCTGGGTTTAGGGAAAGGAAGAGGCCCTACCTAGGCTTTCAGCCTTAGTCATACGGTCACTCAATTTTACCAGAACTCTCTGCACTGGATTACCAGGCATGGGCATATTATAAAATGTCACTGTGGGGTGCCTGGGTGGCTCAGTAGATTGAGCATCCTTCTCTTGGTTTAGGTTCAGGTCTTGATTTCATGGTTCATGAGACAGAGCCCGAGTCAGGCTCTGCGCAGATGGTGAGAAGCCTGCTTGGGATTCTCCCTCTCCCTCTCTCTGCCTATTCTCACCTCTCAAAATAAATAATCATTTAAAAAAATAAATGGGGGCGCCTGGGTGGCTTAGTCGGTTAAGCGTCCGACTTTCACTTAGGTCATGATCTCGCGGTTCGTGGGTTCGAGCCCTGCGTCGGCCTCTGTGCTGACTGCCAGCTCAGAGCCTGGAGCCTGTTTCAGTCTGTGACTCTCTCTCTCTGACCCTCCCCTGCTCACGCTCTCTCTCTCTCTCTCTCCTAGAAATAAATAAAACATTTAAAAATAAATAAATAAATAAAATGTCATTGATCCCTTTTTGTCTTCTTCAAGAACATTATAGATGACAGAGCCATGGCAGAATTCAGGCATCCTCGGCCCAAAATATTATGATTGTACTGATAACCTTTATGTTTGAACTTTACTCCCTGTGATTAGGATGGAGTAAAGATTTATAGAGGAAAGATGTTATCAGATCTGTGTACTTCCCAGATGTCAGGAGGAGTCTCTTCCATCCTTTAGATGGAGATAAGATCTAAAACAATCCTTCTTGTCTTGTGTGTGTTGGGGGGGGGGGGGAAGTACAATGCTTTTTGAAGACCTCTGTGAGATATCAGGGGATTTATGTTCCATTATGTAACCTCAGCCTCGAAGCCTCCACATCTATTAGTTGTTCGGACATCTTGCTATTCTAGTACCTGCTGCTTTTGCTCTGTGCTTCATCAACCCAGACACAAAACTGAGAACTCTCCCTTTGTTGCCACAATGTAAACCCTTACCCATGGCATTTTTGTGCTTGCAGGAACACTTCACTACAGAGGACAGGGTTTATGGTGTTTGCAGTAAATCCTGAGGAAAACTGGGAAGAAACTGGCTCTGCAGGCAGTTTAGGGTTGTCCCAAACCACATGTCATGGAGGCTTCCCCAGCAGCATTCAACATGCAGAAGGAGCACTGAAAGTTTACCTGGCCGGGGTTTGGAGTTTAGTGGAGGGAGGAGGTACAACCGTAGGGAAAGGGAAGAAGGGATCCCGAAGGCATTGGCAAGAGTGTGGCTTACACGACAGACACAGGAGGCTTTGGGCTGTCAAGGTTTAGCCGCGTGGAGATTATATGGCCTCTAGTGCCACCTGTTGCCCAAGAAGAACTACCAACTCTTTAATTTCTGGTGATGAGAAGATGGCTGATTTTAGTGCTGTCCCTCAAAACAACACCCTTCCAAGGCTGAGCTGGGGGTGGGGTGGAAGGTGGCAGTCGGGGGTTCAACTGCTGTGGCGTCTGTGGACAGCGGGGGAAAGAAACAGCTGCTTTGGAAGAAAGCCTCCAAGCATGACGTAGCTGGCTTCCTGTCCTCTGTGAGCCCCATAGAGCCCATGGTAACAGGCAGGCTGTGATGGAAAAAAAAAAAAACAAGGTGCTTTTTAGAGGTATAGTTGTATTTTACAATCTGTGATTATTTGTATTTTTTCTCCCAAGTGTAAGGACCTTTGTCACCACTCTGTCTGGTGGTGGTGATGACCCAGCACTATTTCTTTCATGTATTCTTATTACCTAGAGGAAGAAGTATCTAATAAATATAAATTTAAAACTCTCTTCAAAAGGTTATATCAACACTTGCTTAACATTTTTAAGGAAGAACCCTAAGAAAATATAAAACCATGATCACCTCAAGAATTCTGTTTTATTTTTTTAAAGTTTATTTTGAGAGAGACAGAGAGCTGGGGAGGGCCAGGGAGTAGAGGAGAGAATCCCTTGCAGCCTCCACATTCAGCACAGAGCCAAAATCAAGAGTCAGAGGCTCAACTGACTGAGCCACCCAGGCACCCCAAGAATTCGATTTTTTTTTTCCAAGAATTCGATTTTTAATAGAAATTTTAAAACCAGATGTCTACAGTTTAGAAGGTAAGATGCTTTTTTGCTCTCTTTCTTATACAGAGCACGTTCGTTGTAAACCTAGTTTCTAGGCCTTGTGAGTTGTTCCATCAGATGGTGACAAAGGTACCATGGAACCCATAAGGCATTTGCACAGGCACTTCGGCTCGGCCCAGTTCTTCAAAGTTCTTGGCGTCCAATACTAGGAGAAAATTGTTTTCATTCTAGAAAAGGAAAAAACAATACTGAAAATTCTTCTGATCATGTCTTATGCATCTTCCTATCTATCCTCAGCACCTAGCACACTGCCTTGGCTATCCATGCACTGAATGTTTGCGGAATTGCACCAGCCTGAAAAGGAAATTATGGCAGAAGAAGTTCAGGCCCAGAGTGAAGAAATTAAGTTGTTTATGTCAATTACCTTCACAGAATCTCTCTGAGTTTAAGGATCTTTTTACCTGCACCTTTTTAATCTCCTAAGGGACACAGAAATTTTTTCTTCAAAATTTCGAAGTTCTATGCCTCCAGTTACTTTGGAACTGTACAAGTAACTCTGTCAGCATTGCAAGGCAGACCGATACTTGCCCTGATGTAATTGCAGGAGTGGCAAGTACGTGGGATGAGGGCAAAGTCCTCCAAAGCCTGTGGCAGATATTAGTAATTGATCACAGCACTCTCCTCGTCAAGCCCTTAAAAAGTATCAGGATCCTACACCCCAGGCAGCCACTAATAACTGATCAAAGCTGGTACTCAAAGTGAACCTCTCTGCCACAAGACTGCCTTAGACAAGAAGTTAAGACATCAACACTGCCAAGAACTAGGTCTCACCACATTACACTTTTTGGGGCACGGAAACTGGCAGCACAGATGGTGGCATGAACATCAGACTAGACGTCAGAAGACTGAAGTGTAAACACCAGCTTTACCACTGTGAGATCTGACACAAGGTCCTGCAATGTCTCTAAATTAGAAATTCCATGTGTGTAAAATAGTATGCAAAAAAGGTCTTTTTTTTTTTAATTTAAATTCAAGTTAGTTAACATACAGTGTAGTCTTTGTTTCAGGAATAGAACTCAGGGATTCATCTCTTACAAATGACACCCAGTGCTCATTGCCAAAAGTGCCCTCCTTAATGCCCATCACCCATTTAACCCTCCCCCCCCCATCTCCCCTCCAGCAATGCTCAGCTTATTCTCTGTATTTAAGAGCATCTTATGGTTTGCCTCCCTCTGTTTCAACAAAGCTCTTTTGGTAAGTAATAAGATGATGTGTGTTAAAGTTCTTTGTAAATGAATACCTATGCAAAATGTAAATTATGATGATGACTATATAAAGAGAACTTTCAAATAATAATAAAGCTTGGATTGTGATAATAGGGTACGTACATAGGAGGAGAGGAAGAAAAGGGAGAAAGTACTGTATTGAAATCAGAATAAACTATTGACAGCATCACTGAATACAATCCTCAAAAGGCTCAGTGCTACTTCTTTTTCTGACTAGTGATAAGGAGATACATTTACCTGCTTGGGGGTGATCGCCACAGACAGAATAACCCCACCATCTTCTTCACTGGTTCCTGGTGCCGGAACAAACACAGGTTCCGAGGGGTAGAAGCCATCTTCTCTCCAAATCTATAAGACCCCCCAAAAAAGTATTTGACAGAAGACTCTTTATGAGCAGGAAGCCTTCTACAGCTTTTCTCACTCCCAGCATGCAGCTGGCTGTCACTACACTATCTGGACAGTAAGAGTCAGGCTTACTGAGCTAAATAGAGTGAAGGTGGGGGGCTTGTGGCTACAGGCTCCATCACATCAGACACAATCTGTGCAGTTATAATTTCCCATCAACCTGAACTGTAAGTGCCCCAACAACCTGAACCCCATGATTTCTCTAAAAATAACATCAAACAGAGACTTGTTTTTCTGGGCATTGGATTCATTTAAGATTCCCTAGAGAGAACATACCCCTAGCCTAGGTGATTCTGTGGTTCTCAAACTGAATAAAAGTAAATGGTTGAGCTGCTTGAATGTTAAAGAAAGTCAAGGGGTGCCTAGGTGGCCCCGTCGGTTAACTGTCGAACTCTTGATTTTGGCTCAGGTCATGATCTCACAATTTGTGAGATCCAGCCCTGCACAGGGCTCTGCCCTGACAGCTCAGAGCCTGCTTGGGATTCTCTCTCTACCTCTCCCCAAGTGTGCAGGCTTGCGCTCTCTCTCTTGCTTCTCTCTCTGTCTCAAAATAAATAAATAAAACATTAAAAAGAAAAACCTTAAAAAAGTCACTCCTTCCTTTAAAAAAAAGAAAAAGAAATTCAAGAGCTACTTTAACAAAACAGAAACGAATTCAAAGAGCAGAGGTCTTTTAAGAGTTCAAAAGGGAAAAAAGACTTTCCTTACCATCAGTGTTTTGTTTACCACGTCAACCTTGATCAGAGAATCCCCCACCAGATGCCGAAAGCCACAGCCATAGAAGAAACGATACTTTTTGCCACTGAATTGGCCATAGTTAATCTGGGGAAATTCAATTCCTCCTTCATCCTCTAGCCCTTCGGGATGTAGATTTTCATAGGAGCACCAAATCTAAAAGAGGTCCCAAAAGGATTTCCAGTGATTGCTACTTTCTCACCTATTTTATGCAGTGTAGGTCAGTGAAAGGAGCTAAGATATGGCTAGGAAACTGAGACTCTAGGTCATTTTTCCCATTGTTCCTCTTTCCATCATTTGTATGAATGCACGAAAGATTATTGGGTTTTGTGATGAAGCTGTCAGATGGCACACAGGGTGGAAGTGCCCTTCTTATTCTACCAAAGCTAAGACATTAAGAGCTACACAACAACACGCCTGTAGTAAGCACAAGTTTTCTGAAAGGTGGAGATGGTCAGTATGAATCTCAAATACTTAGCCATTCCACAACCATTAGAAGACTGACATATCTGTTTGAAAACACAAAAAGGAAAGGTAAACACAGCGCTCACTCCCACTCAGAATTCTGCACTTCTTGTGCAAGCAACTATCATGACCTTACCCCACTCAGCTGAATGATAGCAGACTTATTGGGCAACAAACATTGTGGGAAACAGCCAATGAATAGAGCAACATGATTAAAATTCAAAGTCTTAGTCTAATGTCCTTTGGTAGCATACCTTTCCATCAGCTTGTTTCACAGCACTGGCTGAAGAATAGGACAATGGGCTGAGGTTCTCTCCCTCAGGGTCATACAAACTGACATGCAAGGGCAAAACAAACCTTCGAGGGAAAGATCTGCCTATGGAATTATAGACCTGTTCAGGAAAAAGAAACAGATGAGAAAATGTCAATTGTAGGATAACAGCATGTCCCAATAATGTATATCATGTCAAACATTCCTAAGTAATTGCATAAATGATCATTTTCATTCATTCATTTATTCCACAAATGTCTGTTGAGTGCCTACGTGAGACAAAGCACTATTTTAGACACTGGGGAAGCAACAGTGAACAGTCTCTGGACCTCATGGAACTCACATTATAGTGGAGAAAGAATGATGGTAAGAAAGAATTAAAATGTTTGTTATTGGATTATTGTCAAATAAACAAATGAGGTCTTGATCGTGATAATTGCCATTAAGAAACATACTGCAGGGTGAGAGAGTAGAGAGTAACAGGGGTGCTTCCTTTTTCATGTTTGGTCAGAACAGGCCTCTGCATAGGAAAGCATTAAGTTAGTAGGCCAGGCTTGTTCAAGCTGGCGCGTTCTCAAGAAAGATATGTTTTCATGACTGGTCCTTGGCTGGCACCTGGCAACTGAGCTGTTGGAATGTTCTGTCCGACAAGACTGGGCTTGCATGCCTGAGGTCTTGAGCCACACTGTACTGCTTTGTCCACACAGTTTATGCAAACAATGCAATTTACAATGGGCATGTGCTTCACTGTGGGCAGATGGAGCTTCACTAAATTGAGGTTGTGGAGGGGCTATATGCCTGTGTGCTGATACCCAACAAAATCCCTGGATGACCAGCTTGGGGGAGCATGGCACGCCAACACTCCATACACGTTGTCACAAGTGTCTAGAGACTCAGATGTGTCTCATGTGACCCCATCGGGAGAGGACTTGGAAGCGTGCACCTGGCGGTTTCCTCCAGTCTTCATCCCACACACCTTTCCATTTGCTGATTTTTCTGAGATCTGTGAGCCCTCCTACTGAATCATCAAACCAAGAGTGACTCTGAGGATCCCCAACACAACCTCCTTGCAGAGATCATGTTTAAGCAGGAGACCCTAACAAATTTTTTTCTTACAATAAGAGTGCTTTAAGCATGTTTTTCTTTCTTGAAATACTGTAAGAGGGGCACCTTGGTTTCGACTCAGGTCATGATCTCACCATTAGTGGATTTGAGCCTTGTGCCAGGCTTTGTGCTATCAATGCAGAGCCTTCTTGGGATTCTCTCTCTCAAAAATAAGTAAATAAACATTCAAATGAAAGAAAAAAAAAAAACGACTGTAAGATGGAGAACAAAGTGTGATATTTCTCCTCATATACCTGATACATCTTATCTCCCTCTCACATAGAAATGTTTTTACTGACTAAAGACTCAGTGTTATTTTTAAGCTTCACAGAGAGATTTTTTTTGAGTTAGATTTTTTAAATTACTTTTAAGTTTATGTAAACATTTTTTTTTCCTTTTGCAAAGCCATACCTGAACAAAAAGAGACTTCCAATAATGGTGGCTTAGGTAATGTGGATCAACTATCCCACTGAGAATAGTTAAAGAAGCTAGACAAAATGATTAAAATAGCTATTTGAACTCAGGAAACAACAGATGCTGGCAAGAATGTGGAGAAACAGGAACCCTCTTGCACCGTTGGTGGGAATGCAAACTGGTCCAGCCGCTCTGGAAAGCAGTGTGGAGGTTCCTCAAAAAATTAAAAACAGAATTACCCTAGGACCAGCAACAGCACTACTAGGAATTTATGCAAAGGATATAGGAGTGCTGATTCATAGGGGCACATGTATCCCAATGTTTATAGCAACACTTTTAGCAATAGCCAAATTATGGAAAGAGACCAAATGTCCATCAACTGATGAATGGATAAAGATGTGGTTTATATATACAATGGAATACTACTTGGCAATGAGAAAGAAAGAAATCTTGCCAACATGGATCAAACTGGAGGGTATTATGCTAAGTGAAATAAGTCAATCAGGAAAAGACAGACAGATATCATGTTTTCACTCATGAAGAACTTGAGAAACTTAACAGAAGACTATGGGGAAAGGAAGGGAAAAAATAGAGAGGGAGGCAAACCATAAGAGACTCTTAAATACAGAAAACAAACTGAGGGTTGATGGGAAGGTCAGCAGGGTGAGGGAGTGGGGGGGGGGAGGAAATGGGTGATGGGCACTAAGGAAGGCATGAATCATGGAAATGTATGCCCAAAGCCAAGAGCACACTGTATACACTGTATTTTAGCTAACTTGACAATAAATTATATTTTTAAAATGCTTTATAATCCCCCCTGAAAATAAAACATAAATAAAATAGCTGTTTGAAGGCACTGGTGAGCTAAAAAAGCAGTGAAGAATAACAGGGCAGAGTTTGGAGGGAGACAGAAACCTAGACATAAACAAGATACTGGGGGCAACTGCCCCCTAAGGATATCAGCTGCTTTCAGAAAAAGGCAGCTGAGAGGCTGAAAATATAAAATGATTTTTTATTAAACTTTTTTATTTTGAGATCACTGCAGATTCACGTGAAATAATATAGAAAAATAAACAACTGATTAAAAACATGCAAAAAAAATAAAGTGAACATTTTGCCAAAAATATACAAATGGCCAATAAGTACATGAAAATATGTTCAGCATCATTCATTAGTCATTAGGGAAATGCAAATCAAAATTACAATGAGATATTACTTCATATCCACTAGGGTGGTTATTATTAAAAAAATCAAAAACAGAAAATAACAAGTGCTTTGAGAAGGTGAAGAAATTGGACCCCTGTGAATTGCTGGTGGGAATGTTAAATGGTGCAGCTGTTGTAGAAAACTGTCTGGCGATTCCTCAAGCAGTCATAGAATTATCATAGGATCCGGCAGTTCTACTTCTAGTTACATACAAAAAGAATTTAAAACAGGGACTCAAGGGACGCCTGGGTGGCTTAGTCGGTTAAGCGTCCGACTTTCGCTTAGGTCATGATCTCGCGGTTCGTGGGTTCGAGCCCCGCGTCGGGCTCTGTGCTGACTGACAGCTCGGAGCCTGGAGCCTGATTCAGTCTGTGACTCCCTCTCTCTCTGACCCTCCCCTGCTCATGCTATCTCTCTCTCTGTCTCCTAGAAATAAATAAAACATTTAAAAAAAAAAAAACAGGGACTCAAATATATACTTGAATGCCAATGTTTATAACAACACTATTCACCATAGCCAAAAGGTAAAAACAACCCAAATGTCCCCAACAAATGAATAGATAAACAAAATGTAGTACAGACATACAAGGATATTTAACCTTTAACAGGAATGAGATTCTGATACATGTTACAACATAAATGACCCTCAAAAAGTCTATGCTAAATAAGATAAGCCAAACACAAAAAAATAAATCTTGTCCCATTCCACTTATATAAGGTAACTAGAATAGGCAAATGCATAGTAACAGAAAGTAGAACAGAGGCTACCAAAAGGCTGGAGAGAGGGGGGAATAGGGACCTGTTATTTATTGGGTAGAGTTTCCATTTGGATGATGAAAAAGTCTGGAAATGGACAGTGATGATGATTGCCCAACCCTGTTAATGTACTTAATGCCACTGAACTGAACACCTGAAGATGATTAAAATGGTAAGTTTTATGTCATATATCTCTGTATATGTAGAGAGATCACATGTATCCTTCATCCAGTTTCACCAATGACATTGTCTTGTATAACTACAGGACAATATCACAACTGAAAAATTTCCATTGATATAATCCACCAACTTTATTTAGATTTCACCAGTTTAACATGCACTCGTGTGTGTGGGTATGTGTATCTGTGTATTTAGTATAATGCAATTTTATCATGTGTAAATTCATGTGATCATCACCACACTCAAGATATAAAATCACCACAAGGATCCTTCATGCTACCTTTTTTTTTTTAATGTTTTTATTTATTTCTAGGAGAGAGAGAGAGAGACAGTGTGAGCAGGGGAGGATCAGAGAGAGAGGGAGTCACAGACTGAAACAGGCTCCAGGCTCCGAGCTGGCAGTCAGCACAGAGCCCGACGCGGGGCCCGAACCCACGAACCGCGAGATCATGACCTAAGCGAAAGTCGGACACTTAACCGACTAAGCCACCCAGGCGCCCCCATGCTACCTTTTTATAAAGATATGGCTAACCCACTCCCCCACCACATGACCCCAGTGAATAAATTTTGATATTTTCAAGGAATTAAAGGGATAAAAGTTGGAGTTCAAGGACTGCCAAAAAGGAGAAGCCCTGATAAACCCCCTAGCTCTTTGGGTCAACACCCTTTTAGTCAGCACCTAAGAGTAAGAATGAACAATTAGTCCAGCTCTTTCATGAACTGTACCCTGTTTCAAAATATCCCAAGCCCAGGGCACCTGGGTGGCTTAGTCGGTTTAGCATCCGACTTTCACTTACGTCATGATCTCGTGGTTCGTGGGTTCGAGCCTCACGTCGGGCTCTGTGCTGACTGCCAGCTCAGAGCCTGGAGCCTATTTCAGAGTCTGTGTCTCCCTCTCTCTCTGACCCTCCCCTGCTCGCGCTGTCTCTCTCTCTCTCTCCTAGAAATAAATAAAAATATTTTAAAAAAATTTTTTCAAAATATCCCAAGCCCTAGTACTAGATTAAGAATATCTGGAATTGGGGCGCCTGGGTGGCTCAGTTGGCTAAGTGTCTGACTCCGGCTCAGGTCATGATCTCACGGTTTGTGGGTTTGAGCCCTGCATTGGGCTCTGTGCTGACGGCTAGCTCAGAGCCTGGAGCCTGCTTCCAATTCTGTGTCTCCCTCTCTCTCTGCCCCTCCCCTGCTCACACACACACTCTCTCTCAAAAATAAATAAACATTTTAAAAACAGAATATCTGGAATTGGTCATGTACCCAACCAATCAGCCAAAAGTAAATAAAATTTTCTGTGGAGGAACATAATATCAGCCCGAGTCTCAAACTATCTCTACAATTTTTCAAATACAACATTCTCTATACAATAAAAATTAGCCAGTACATGAAAAAACGAGAGCATTTTAAAAAACAAAATAATACAGAACAAGATAACAAACAACAGAACCAGAGCCACAAGGGATC